CCAAAAAAAAAAAAAAAAAAAATGAACAGGGAGGACAAGTTCAAGAAAATTACACTGCATTATTTTTGGCCACCTCTCAGCAGTATTTTTTGTCTTCAATGAAACTCTACAAAGCAATTAAACTCTGCAACAGACTGTAATCAAATGAAAGTAGACCCCAAATCTTTATGAGGAACATACACTAGTTCAGGGTTCCTCAGCCTTGGCAACTTTAAGATGGGTGGGCTTCAACTCCCAGAATTCCCCAGCCAGCCTTAAAGTTGCCAAGGTTGAGGAACCCTGCACTAGCTAACCTCTTACAGATCTTCTCCTACAAACTCTTATAGCCTAAATAGTTTATATAACTATAAACATAGTTATATCAATCTGTTTAGCTAAATTTTCTTTGGAACCAATGTGAAAAGATAATATTTTATTTCTTGCTTAGTAATAACTTTTTGCTATTAGCTCATTTGTTTATATTTCCATACATAATCTGCCATTTGGGGAGGGCCTAAGTAGAAATGCCACTGTAAGAATTTTTTAAATAGCTCCACTATTCCAAAGTCATGCAAATTTTATGACAAAATATTGTTTAAAAAGATGCTGAAAGGTTAAAATTAAACAAACATTTAATAGGATTGAAATTAACACTTATTAAAATTAACAAAAGAAAAACCTCTTATCTGTTAATAAACTATAGTTCATAAAAATAACTAGAGTTGATTAAATCCAAGTTAGAATCTGCGTATGGTATCATACGTTACAAGGGCAATTTTGAAATTGTATGCTTGAAGGAACTCTGTGGGTGGGTTGCTAAGCTGCTCTTAGCAGATGCCGAAGGACAGTGAAACATAAAAGTACAGCAGGAACAGAATTCTGGTGATGGGGTTAAAAGGAGTGCTTCATATCTTAAACAAAGACAAAAAATCCTGTGGAGTCTTTGGGGTTCTCTGAGCTTGGCTGTTTTCTTGCAAACGTTTCGTTACCCGGATAGGTAACATCTTCAGTGCTGAAGATGTTACCTATCCGGGTAACGAAACATTTGCAAGAAAACAGCCAAGCTCAGAGAACCCCAAGGACTCCACAGTTCAATCCTGAGCTACACATATTCGCTTCTATTGGTACAAAAAATCCTGTTGTGTGTGGGGAGAGTTTACAAGATGTTTAACTAACACCATATTATTGTACAACAACAATGTTCCTAAAAACCTACCAAACCCATTTTACATCAAAAGGACTCTTTGACAGCCAATCAAGAAAAGCACGCACAGCTTGGAATACAGTAAAGCTATTTTTATTTAAAACATTCTGTGTCAGTATTTCCCAAATACTGTATTTAGTCACAAATTAAAACAGAAAGCATTTTATTCTTGCATTGTTTAAAAAGGAGGAATATGCTATACTTCCAGAACAGTGGCTTTTCTATGAAATACCTTCCTAGTCACCAAATGACAAACCAGACAGGAACGGGTTAATTTTACTTTTAGCTAGAAGGTGGGTTTAAGCCCTGTATTGACCTCCCCTGAGTGTGGCTTAATCCATTTATCATATATTCTGCTGAAACAACAGACTAAACAACAAGCTGTTGTATGTTCCACTAAAACATATAGTAACGGAAGAATAACACAAAATAGCCTATCACAGTTAAAAAACTTGCATTCTGACCTCTGGGCCACTAAGACTCTCTTCATCTACTAAATAGGGTGGGTCTGTTGGTCCATCTCCTGGTGACCAGAAAGGAACTTCATGGTAAGTCCAACCACTGCTCTTGGTTATTTAAGACACAGGCAAATGAAATGGAATATACCACAGCAGTATTCCTAAAGTGCATCAGTATAATAGCTTATAGCACTCTATGTGATCCACTGTGGCCAACATTGATATCTGAAGAGACAAATTTGTTTATTTTCTAATGTTTTGTAAAGGTAGGTAATTCTGCCTCAAAGCTATCTATCCCAGCCATTGACCTTTTCTTAGAGAGTCATGTAGCTGGCTATGAAAGCAGGATGAGGCAATTTTCAACCCAATAATTGTTAATTGTGGAGCAAAAAACGTGTCTGCCCAATTTCCTGTTTTAGCCACTCCCTCACTAATGTATATCTAATGTACATCCTCTGAGTCCTCTGCACATCGAACTTGAGCTTGGGTGTGTTGGGACCAGGCAGAAACAGGAGAGCACAATCTGTTGTGCTCCACAGAATTGAGAAATTGACCTAAGGCATGAAACAGCGATATGGCTTAGAAACACCTTATCCTGGTAGAATATACATCCATCACTCTTAAATGAATATGTCTGTATCTCCCCATCCTTCCAAGTCAAGGACTGCCTTCCAGGTAAGAATATTAGACTCCTCTGTCTAGTGGGTAAAGGGCTGCAATCATTAAGCCCTTGAGTACTATTGACAAGGCCCATGTAGAAACTTGAGGAACCTGGGGTTTCTGATTAAGAAGTTTAGGTAAGCCCCTGACAAATCTTTTTTGGTGTGGGTGTCTTTGAGTCAGCATTGCCTGGACAAGTCCCTGCAATTTTCATGGCAAGATTTTGGAAGTGGTTTGCCATTGCCTTCTTCCTAGGGCTGAGAGAAAGTGACTGGCCTAAGTTCACCCAGCTGGCTTTGCGACTAAGGTGGGACTAGAACTCACAGTCTCCTGGCTTCTAGCCTGGTGTCTTTGCCACTACACCAAACTGGCTCTCCCCTATGACAAATCTATTGAACCTAAAATATCGTGCAGCAGGATGATTTCTGCTATTGATTTTAATGACTCCTTCCTAAAGCTTTGACAGAGAGCCAAGTCAAAGGAATTCCTGGAAGCTTGGTATTCAGACAAATCAGCCATCATTAGACACATAGAGGTAAACCATACTTACACACCATTCAAAAGAGACAACAAAAAGCTAAGAAGGAAACAAAAAGACCAGACTCTCCAGCAGCCAACACCCAGATTAACACCAGACAGTGAAGTAGAAAACAGTACCCTAATCAAGGAATTACCAACGAGAAAACCACATGCCCACCAACACTGGCAAGGCAAGCTACTGTATATAAACAGGGAGCAAACCCCACACTCTCTTTGTTATTACCTAGATGTTACCTAGTTCATTCACTGATGGTGTTACCTACTTCTTTACCTAGGGCAATGAAACATTTGCATGTAACCAACCAAGCTCAGAGAGCACCAAGGACTCCACAGAAGTAGGAGTTTTGGTTTTTGATTTGAAAAGATGATATCAGAGTTTTCTTCCTTAGAGCTGAACAGCTTCTTCTTCCAGAAGGATCTACCTATGAGGTTGGCTTTTGACTGGTGGCTATTTCCCAATGTTGTGCCACAACTTCATTATGCCACAGATATAGCTGCAACCTGTAGATGTTTGACCCAAGAGATGTTTGACCCAAGTTCTGTTGTTCAGTCCCATTTATTGATGCCCTCTCATAGCAGAGTTCTACAAGTCCTAAATAGAGCAAATTATATGTTCACATCCTAAGATTCTGGAGAAAATGAAGGAGACAGCTGCAGCCCTTGCTCCCACA